CGGACGCGGCACCCCCCACCGGCACCAAGTTCGATCTCAAGACTCAAGAGGGGAGGACTGCGTACAACCGTGCCCATTACCAGAAGCGGAAGGCGATGGAGAAGGACGCGGCGGGCACGGGGTCTAAGAAGCGTTCGCACGAGGAAAGTGAGTCCGGGGATAGTGAGTCCGGGGAGGAGGATGAGGATTCTGAAGAGGCGGCGCCGAAGAAGGGGTGCGGGGGCAAGGCTGATGGGGCGACGGACAAGAAGCCGCGGCCGCACGTCTGCAAGGAGTGCGACAAGACGTTCTCAAGGCCCGACAACCTGGCGACACACATGCGGATACATACCGGGTCTCAACCGTACCTCTGCAAGACGTGCGGCAAGACGTTCTCCGACGCCAGCAACCTGGCTGCGCACATGAAGACGCAGAAGGCGAAGAAGGGGTGCGGGGGCAAGGAGAAGCCGTACGCCTGCAAGGAGTGCGACAAGGCGTTCACGCAGTCCGGCGTCCTGGTTAGGCACATGCGGACGCATTCGGGGGAGAAGCCATTTGAATGCGATGTTTGTGGCAAGGCCTTCGCGAGGTCCAGCAACCTGACTGTGCACATGCGAACCCATCGCTAGGCGCATGCACAGCAAGAAACATTAGGATAGGGGGGGGTGGGGGTCTAGTGCTGGGTAATAAAAAAAATAAAAAACCAAACAGTGTCAGCTGCGGGCAAAAAGCGAGTGCGCCCACATCGGAGAGATGGGAGAGTGGGGATAATTTCACGGGACTTTGTGAGATTGTCCCCGTTTTTTTCAATCGATCGTAAGTTGAACCACCCGGGGTTCGAACCCACGATCTCCTGACCATTAATAATAGTTTGTACCACTAAGCCACGAGAGCACGAGGCAAGTGTTGTTTGCGTCACACTGCATATTAATTTATGTGGATTGGAAAGCTTATGTAGTTGCGTGGGACACGTGTGGCTGCGTGTGTGAAGGTGAGTTTTAAAAATCGATAACTATGTATATACATAAGATTTGACCTTGATATTGTGTGCATTATAACCGCAACCACACCCACAGATTGCTCGCCCTCGTAGCCAAGTTGTTTACGGCGCAAGACTTTTAATCTTGAGATCGCCAGTTCGACCTTGGCCGGGGGTAATTTTGGTCTTTCCTTTTTGCTAGCTACGTCAATCTGAACGAACTTTTTGGGCTTGTACAGAGGCAATGTCCGCTCCGAGTGTGCCCAGACCGATTTGACCGAACTCGTTTGAACCAAAACAGGACACGTCATTCGTACTCTGGCGCAGAAAACACGTATGGCGTGAGGTAGGGTGGCCTGTGGCAATCATACGCACCCCTTGCGAAACATTAACAGGCGAGACGCTAGTGAACATCTTATCCGAACCCCAACAGGTGAGCGTCTCTTTGGGTCCCCATATCGCACAGGAATGGTGCATTCCCAGCGAAATAGATCTTGCGCCAATCACAAAATCTGAGACATTTATCTCCTCAGAAACACTTGCACCTGCTACGGTGCTCCAACACACGACACGACCGGTACGGTGTCGAATGGCACACACATGTAGGTTGCCTGTAGTTACGAGTTTCTGGAAAAAACCTGTCTCTGGGCTCACCCTTTGCGAAAATTTGGGTGCACCAACACAGTCGACCAGCTCACCATGTACAGAAAGGTTGCATGACATCACACCACGGAGAGAAGACAACCCAATCAAGAAGATCAGTACACACATCAGAAAAGTCAAATTTGAAACTCGAGAAAATAGTTCACGCAAAACGGAGAACATGTTTCGGTACACACAAGTCGATCCACCTCGTTTTAATAACTCTCCACAGTCTATCCCCGACCCTCCTCTGCTTGCATTACCCTCGAAATGCGCGTGAAGTCACCAGACATCATAGCGTCGTAGAGACTCTTTCTAACCGGCAAGGGGAAACCATCTTGATCACGTGAGTACATCGCAGTGTACTCATTTGTGTCGAGTATAAGCTGCCCCAACCCAATGAGCTGTTTCTGCTTGATGGCGTCATGGGTCTCACCCACAACCGCACTGTCCAGTGTGATTCTCATGGGTCGCGTGTAGATAGATCTGAGATAGTCGGGGATGAACATCAAATACTCGATGGGATTCGGTTTATTCCGTAACACGCAAAGACACGTGTGTCCCAGACCCCTCCCTACAAAACGAGAGTCGTACTTGAAGTTACACGAGCCACGCCTTCAGGCATGGTCCTGTTTCAACACCAGGTTGTCGGGAATGACGACGTTGCGAATATGCTCAAACAAAAGATGATGGAGGTAGAGATAAGGCGGCAAGAGGAATGTTCGGAGTCACTTCTGAAAGATTACAACTTGAAGAACGATGTCTTCACTCATGTGGCTTTGAAGGGTGGCCCAGAACGCGTTCTTGCCCAGAACCTCAAAGCGCGTGCGGACGCTCGCCTCAATATCGCCTCGGCTCAGATCATGGTAAAACACTGCGAACGGATGATCGAGATCCAGGGCATGTGGGATGGCGTGGGTGACCCCAAACCAGAATACAAAAGGGACGTTCCCTTCGAGTGGAGGATGCTTGAGGACAGTCCGCAAATGGTATGCATCATCAGACACCCGAGCTCATTTATCAAATAGACCTTTACAGGCACTCTGTAGAATCTGCATACTCACAATGCTAGCATCCAGTATCCACTTGTCTTCCATCCCGGGACCGTCTTCAGGATGTACCCAGATCTGACCAGACTTGACTGAATCGATCACGACCTCCCGTTGGAAAAGAACCCCATAGTAGACAATACCACCCTGTTCACACAAACGCACCCGAATTGGTGGGAATTTATTCATCTTTTTGTGTTTGTCTTTCTGGGCAGGTGCAACCCAACCCTACGGACCACGCGACCCTTTCAGATCTCGACAAAGCGGCGCTTCTACAACAAGCGGATCTTCTGGAAGCAGCGGCCTGGAAGTTGATCAATGGGACATCCGAGAGCTCAGAGGAGCCTATGCGTCAACCGGGCGGACCTGTAGAGAACCATTAAGTTGGCTGGGTGGGAATTCATGTGGTTTTTTTAATACAGCGAGATCACCGCAATGATTGCTCTTCTTGCGTGTGTAAATATATTTAATGACTTGATTGGGGTTCGCCTCATCGAGATGAGGACCCCCTGTTTATTTGTTGTATTATGTTGTGTATTGTGTGGTGGTGTGCCAGGACAAACCATAAATCATCGCCATACCTATGCACTGCGTACACAGTGTCAGGGTTATCCAAAACCAATCCTCCCGTGTTGGGAAACGTTCAAGAACTACGGGAATACAGTTTACATTTTCTACTTTGCACACTCTGGGGTTTCGGGTGGTCAATTTAAAAATGGGTGGTTTCCGGTAACTATTAGCAGCTCCCGTATGGCTCCAAAACATCGATTGGTGGACATGGTATATGTCACAGAGACTAAACTCAGCGTGGTTGTAAAACCCAGTGAACCGGAATTGATTTTGGATTCTACAACTAGTTTTGTGACAATTTGTGGTAAAACTGATGCATGCATACCCTGCACAGAGTCATCGGAGTGGAACCCAGAGACAGCTCAATGTATATGTCCGGTGGATAAGATTATCTCAAATTACACAGACGTCAAAGTGCAAGACCAAAAGTACCCGAGCAGTATTGGAACTCATAGCATGTTTACATGTACTCAATGTCCAGTGTTCATGAAAGTAGTGGACGGGTCGTGTGTGTGTATGGATACATTTCGCATGGGAAGCGCACAGGAGGTAGGCGACTCGGGGCGTCTCTTAGACACGTGTCGTTGTGACGCAGGGTTCCACCCATTCTTCAACGCTTCATCCAAGCTGGACACTTGTGTAAGGTGTGGGGTAGGTTCGTACAAGGCTGGCTACGGTAACGTCGACTGTGATTTATGTCCACCCGGAGAACACAGTTCTGCTGATGGTACCCACTGCGTATGTCCTGTGGCCAAACTCAATGTACGTGATATCGGTTTGACGTGTTTGGTGTGTAACCCTGGTACATTTGAATCGCAATCTGCTGATGGGTTCTGGTCATGTGACCAATGCCCAGAAAATTCAGTGTCGACTGATGCACACGCGACGGTGTGCACAACGTGTATGGGAGAAACTTCCAGTAACGAAGATAAAACTGCTTGCATATGTGAGGGTAATCAGGTCACTACTGATGATGGCATAACTTGTGTTTGTAAACCCGAATACTTCCATAATACGAAAATTGATACATGTGAATTGTGTCCGATTGGTACGTTCAAGGGGGTTCTTGGAGACGAGAACTGTGCACATTGTCCGACCAATTCAACCAACTGGCCGTTGAACACTCGAACCGGTTGGATCTGCGACGTTGGGTTTAGAGCTTCAGGTGACACATGCATCCAGTGTCCGATAAACTCTATGAGCATGCCTTTTGACATTCGAACCTTCTGTACCTGTATGGTTGGAATGTTCCTATTAGGGGATGTGTGTATCCCATGTCCTCTGGGTACATACAAAGATGTGATGGGTAACCACATATGTACCTCATGTGACGAAGGTATGACTACGATGACTTATGGTACGACCCAAGACGAGTGTGTGTGTGCAGCTGTTCACTTCATCAACGAAATCCTCGATTGTGAGGCGTGTCCAGTGAATACTTATAATCCGGTTGATCTCGCAACAGGTCGCGATAGCTGCCTTCCATGTACGTTCAGATTTTTCCAACCGTCTACTGGAAGGGCTGAATGTGTGCCACAGAACGTCGATATTTCGCCCATGGTCTCAGACGAATCACGTATCGTTGGAATGTTTGTCTACGAAGACCAGTCATGTGTTTACATTAACAAAGTTAATGGCAAAGGGGTTGACAAAGTGTGCTGGGGTGGGCACACGGAGATGAAGCTCTCTCTTGATGTGCTTGAGGGGATACAGGTTGTATGTGGGGATGGGGTGTTGCTCCCCCTTGTCGAGCAATGTGATGACGGAAACATGTTTGGTGGTGACGGGTGTAGCAGTTCATGTTCCGTGGAACCTGACTTCTTCTGCCCGTCGGCTGAGGTCATAGTAGAACTCCCCGAGACGAACCTCCCTGCAACGAACCTCTCAGTGAGCCTGGTCGAACCCTCTGTGTGCTGTCGACTGGGAGGGGTGTTATCAAAAACCTCAAGGTGTACGCGCTGCCGGGATCGAGAGCCACCGTTCCCGGGAGTGCGTTACCGTGACAGTGATTGTGAACTTGAAGACATTGACGAATGCGTAGAAGGTACCGATGGATGTGTTCTACAGGCCGGGGGAGTCTCGTGTGTCAACCTCGATGCTCTGGATAGCGGTGGTGTCTTCCGCTTCGAGTGTGTATGTGCACCCGGTTTGTTCGTTTCTAACCACAGCTGTACCGCTGAGCGTTTCAGGACACAGTTTGTGTTGGAGGTGAACCACACTGAGGCCACTTCTTAAAAGGGCATAATCCAGAACGCCATAATCCTGGATTATGGCGTTGTGAATTATGGCGTCGGTCCAATCTTAAAAGGATTCATTAATCCGGAATCTCGAACGTCATAATCGGGTATCATTGCACAAACTCTTTTGCTTTACAAAATCCTCCGGATGGGGAGGGCGGGCGCGCGTTGGAGCTCGTAGCTCCGTCGCTGGTGCCACGGTGCCACGACCAGGGCGTCCTTCGGTGGTGCCACAGCCATCGTCGAGCTCTCCCGGATGGTGCATGCTGATCTCGCTTTCTCCGC